AAGGGAATGTATGAAAGTATAGTAGTACCAACACTCTTATATGGATGTGAAGCTTGGGTGGTAAATGTAGCAGCGAGGAGACGGTTGGAGGCAGTGGAGATGTCCTGTCTAAGGGCAGTGTGTGGTGTAAATATTATGCAGAAAATTCGGAGTGTGGAAATTAGGAGAAGGTGTGGAGTTAATAAAAGCATTAGTCAGAGGGCAGAAGAGGGGTTGTTGAGGTGGTTTGGTCATTTAGAGAGAATGGATCAAAGTAGAATGACATGGAAAGCATATAAATCTATAGGGGAAGGAAAGAGGGGTAGGGGTCTTCCTCGAAAGGGTTGGAAAGAGGGGGTAAAGGAGGTTTTGTGGGCGAGGGGCTTGGACTTCCAGCAAGCGTGCATCAGTGTGTTAGATAGGAGTGAATGGAGACGAATGATACTTGGGACCTGACGATCTGTTGGAATGTGAGCAGGGTAATATTTAGTGAAGGGAATCAGGGAAACTGGTTATTTTCATATAGTCGGACTTGAGTCCTGGAAATGGGAAGTACAATGCCTGCACTTTAAAGGAGTGGTTTGGGATATTGGCAGTTTGGAGGGATATGTTGTGTATCTTTATACGTATATGCTTCTAAGCTGTTGTATTCTGAGCACCTCTGCAAAAGCAGTGATAATGTGTGAGTGTGGTGAAAGTGTTGAATGATGATGAAAGTATTTTCTTTTTGGGGATTTTCTTTCTTTTTTGGGTCACCCTGCCTCGGTGGGAGACGACCGACTTGTTGAAAAAAAAAAAAAAAAATTAAGTGTGTGTAGCATTTAACTGTATTTCAGATTTTGAGTTGATAGTAGTTATGTAATATTGTACTTAATGTTTTTTATTGAACCCTGAACTATGCACTGATATGTGGTCATATGTACAGTAGGGGTTTGGGATATTGGCAGTTTGGACGGATATGTTGTGTATCTTTATATGTATATGCTTCTAAACTGTTGTATTCTGAGCACCTCTGAAAAAACAGTGATAATGTGTGAGTGTGGTGAAAGTGTTGAATGATGATGAAAGCATTTTCTTGTTGGGGATTTTCTTTCTTTTTTGGGTCACCATGCCTTGGTGGGAGATGGCTGACTTGTTGAAAAAAAAAAAATGTACAGTATATGGGTCTTGCCAGGATCCTTATTTTTTTCTTTGTAAACACATCGGCCGTCTCCTACTGAGGCAGGGTGACCCATCTCCCTAAAAAAAAAAAAAAAAAGAAAAGAAAAACACTTTCACCATCATTCACATAGAATCATTGTTTTTGCAGAAGTTCTCATATACAACAGTTTATATGTCACTCCAAAAAGTATCTTAATATTGTAGAAGAATTATGAAAATTGCTTCAAAAAATATTTGACTTGAGTCCTGGAAATGGGAAGTACAATGCCTGGACTCTAAAGGAGGGGTTTGGGCTATTGGCAGTTTGGGAGGATATATTGTATATATTTATACGTATATACTTATTATTAAATGGAGAGTTAGAGGTATTGGGAAGATGGAAGGAATATTTTGAGGAATTGTTAAATGTTGAAGAAGATAGGGAAGCTGTGATTTCGTGTATAGGGCAAGGAGGAATAACATCTTGTAGGAGTGCGGAAGAGCCAGTTGTGAGTGTGGGGGAAGTTCGTGAGGCAGTAGGTAAAATGAAAGGGGGTAAGGCAGCCGGGATTGATGGGATAAAGATAGAAATGTTAAAAGCAGGTGGGGATATAGTTTTGGAGTGGTTGGTGCAATTATTTAATAAATGTATGGAAGAGGGTAAGCTACCTAGGGATTGGCAGGGAGCATGCATAGTTCCTTTGTATAAAGGCAAAGGGGACAAAAAAAAAGAGTGCAAAAATTTTAGGGGGATAAGTCTGTAGAGTATACCTGTTAAAGTATATGGTAGAGTTATTATTGAAAGAATTAAGAGTAAGATGGAGAATAGGATAGCAGATGAACAAGGAGGCTTTACGAAAGGTAGAGGGTGTGTGGACCAGGTGTTTACAGTGAAATATATAAGTGAACAGTATTTAGATAAGGCTAAAGAGGTTTTTGTGGCATTTATGGATTTGGAAAAGGCTTATGACAGGGTGGATAGGGGGGGCAATGTGGCAGATGTTGCAAGTGTATGGTGTAGGAGGTAGGTTACTGAAAGCAGTGAAAAGTTTTAACGAGGATAGTGAGGCTCAAGTTAGAGTATGTAGCAAAGAGGGAGATTATTTCCCAGTAAAAGTAGGCCTTAGACAAGGATGTGTGATGTCACCATGGTTGTTTAATACAGTGGACCCTCGACCAGTGATGGCATCGACTAACGTTAAATCCGACCAGCGATACATTTTAACGCAAAAATTTTGCCTCGACTAGCGCTTAAAAACTCGACCAACACTATTCGTTCCGTCTGAGACGCGTCCACTTCTGGCCAGTGTTTACAAGCCAGCCAGCCACCGCGGTCGCTTCCAAGCATACAATCGGAACATTTCATATTATCGCAGCCTTTTTAGTGATTGCACCTGCAAAGTAAGTCACCATGGGTCCCAAGAAAACTTCTAGTGCCAACCCTACAGCAAAAAGGGTGAGAATTACTATGGATATGAAGAAAGAGATCATTGCTAAGTATGAAAGTGGAGTGCGTGTCTCCGAGCTGGCCAGGTTGTACACAAAACCCCAATCAACCATCGCTACTATTGTGGCCAAGAAAACGGCAATCAAGGAAGCTGTTCTTGCCAAAGGTGCAACTGTGTTTTCGAAACTGAGATCGCAAGTGATAGATGTTGAGAGACTGTTATTGGTGTGGATAAACGAAAAACAGATAGCAGGAGATAGCATCTCTCAAGCGATCATATGTGAAAAGGCTAGGAAGTTGCATGAGGATTTAATTAGAAAAATGCCAGCAACTAGTGGTGATGTGAGTGAATTTAAGGCCAGCAAAGGTTGGTTTGAGAGATTTAAGAATCGTAGTGGCATACAGAGGTGAGGCTGCCAGTTTGGACCAAAAAGCAGCTGAAAAATATGTGCAGGAATTCAAGGAGTACATAGACAATGAAGAATTGAAACCTGAACAAGCGTTTAATTTTGACACTGACAATGTTGTGAAACACTTTAGGAATGTCATAAAGGAACGGGAGGTACAGGCCTCTATGGACAGATATGTTGTGCAACAGAGGTCCAGTGACTCTCAAGCTGGTCCTAGTGGCATTAAAAGAAGAAGGGAAGTAACCCCGAAAAAGGACTTGCCACCTCAAGTCCTAATGGAAGGGGATTCCCCTTCTAAACACTAACACCATCAACACTCCCCTCCTCTCATCCCATCAATCGTCACCAGATCTTCAATAAAGGTAAGTGTCATGTAACTGTGCACGTCTTCTTCAGTTTGTGTGTATTAAAATTAATATTTCATGTGGTAAAATTTTTTTTTCAATACTTTTGGGTGTCTTGCACGGATTAATTTGATTTCCATTATTTCTTATGGGGAAAATTAACTCGACTAACGATAATTTCGATTAACGATGAGGTCTCAGGAACGGATTAATATCACTGGTCGAGGGTCCACTGTATATTTATAGATGGGGTTGTAAGAGAAGTAAATGTGAGGGTCTTGGTAAGAGGCGTGGAGTTAATAGATAAAGAATCACACATAAAGTGGGAGTTGTCACAGTTGGTCTTTGCTGATGACACTGTGCTCTTGGGAGATTCTGAAGAGAAGTTGCAGAGGTTGGTGGATGAATTTGGTAGGGTATGCAAAAGAAGAAAAAAGTGAATACAGGAAAGAGTAAGGTTATGAGGATAACAAAAAGATTAGGTGATGAAAGATTGGATATCAGATTGGAGGGAGAGAGTATGGAGGAGGTGAATGTATTTAGATATTTGGGAGTGGACGTGTCAGCGGATGGGTCTGTGAAAGATGAGGTGAATCATAGAATTGATGAGGGGAAAAGGGTGAGCGGTGCACTTAGGAGTCTGTGGAGACAAAGAACTGTCCTTGGAGGCAAAGAGGGGAATGTATGACAGTATAGTTTTACCAACGCTCTTATATGGGTGTGAAGCATGGGTGATGAATGTTGCAGTGAGGAGAAGGCTGGAGGCAGTGGAGATGTCATGTCTGAGGGCAATGTGTGGTGTGAATATAATGCAGAGAATTCGTAGTTTGGAAGTTAGGAGGAAGTGCGTGATTACCAAAACTTGTCCAGAGGGCTGAGGAAGGGTTGTTGAGGTGGTTCGGACATGTAGAGAGAATGGAGCGAAACAGAATGACTTCAAGAGTGTATCAGTCTGTAGTGGAAGGAAGGCGGGGTAGGGGTCGGCCTAGGAAAGGTTGGAGGGAGGGGGTAAAGGAGGTTTTGTGTGCGAGGGGCTTGGACTTCCAGCAGGCATGCGTGAGCGTGTTTGATAGGAGTGAATGGAGACAAATGGTTTTTAATACTTGACGTGCTGTTGGAGTGTGAGCAAAGTAACATTTATGAAGGGATTCAGGGAAACCAGCAGGCCGGACTTGAGTCCTGGAGATGGGAAGTACAGTGCCTGCACTCTGAAGGAGGGGTGTTAATGTTGCAGTTTAAAAACTGTAGTGTAAAGCACCGTTCTGGCAAGACAGTGATGGAGTGAATGATGGTGAAAGTTTTTCTTTTTCGGGCCACCCTGCCTTGGTGGGAATCGGCCAGTGTGTTAATAAAATAAATACTTCTAAACTGTTGTATTCTTGGCACCTCTGCAAAAACAGTGATTATGTGTGAGTGAGGTGAAAGTGTTGAATGATGAAAGTATTTTCTTTTTTGGGGATTTTCTTTCTTTTTGGGTCACCCTGCCTCGGTGGGAGATGGCCGACTTGTTGAAAAAAAAAAAATGAAGCTGTACATCCCTAGCAGTGTTGTGGTCTTCAATTTTGTAGTAAATGAATGAGGTTGCAATTGTGCCTTTCTAGCTAGTAGACTTGAAGTGCCCCTGCACTTCTTTGATAAATAACCTCCATCATCCTTATGGGTTTATGTATTGCATTACAGATAATAATGATGGTGATGGTGCAGCTGATCTTCTAGATGACTTTGAGCCAGCAACTGATTACCAGCAGCCAATGAATGTAGAGGAGAATAAAGAGAAGGCTGATATAGAGAAAGATGAACTCAAAAATAACAACAACCTCACTGTCATTGACCTCCCTAATGGACGGTGAGAACAAGGATTTATTAAAGCTTAGTATTTGTGCATATGATAATGGGATACAGTACTGACAAGTTGATAAGTAAGAGCACTGTAGTCTTGAAGATTCTTCAAGACTCTGGTGCTGTTCACCAACTTCAAGGCTGAGGGACTGATTACCTCTTCTTTTTTATTTTTTTCTACAGTCTTCCTTTTATGTCCTTGAATTTGTATTGATAAAGCCAGTGGATGGTGAAACTTCTACAAATAAAGATGTTGCACATTTGTGTAATACTTCATCTTGTTGGTATTGCATACCACTCATGTGCAGACTATCGATAAATAAGTTGCAGTTGATATATTGAACGTGTGTTGAAAATTTATATATTTAATCTATATAGAATTTACATCAGATTTTTAAGATATTTTTTTAACTTTTTGAAGTAATTGGCAGATAGGCAATCTTTTGTCTTTATGGACCTCCCTATTTGCAGGGCCTTTTATTTGCATGGCATTTCTAAGTAGGTTGAACATGGGGTATATCAGAGATTCTCATTTCTTGTATTTCCACAACTTTAATATTCATTATGCTTTTTCAAACTTTTTATATCAACTTGTTTTGCCAATTTATATATGGCATGGAACTTTAAAGATCATTCTCTAGATAATATAACATCTCCTTTCATCACAATTACAGTTACTTGTATTTACATAACTGTTACAGTTTCTTGTACCCTAACCCTCAACAGGGGTCTTGTGTATTTGTGACCAACCAATGTCCTTTGGTATACTGTTCAGTACTCTCTCGCTTTCTTCGCATCATCCAAGTTAATTTTTTTTTTTCAACGAGTCGGCTGTCTCCCACCTAGGCAGGGTAACCCAAAACGAAAATACTTTCATCATCATTCAAAAAGTTAACCTCACTCATGCATCGTCACAGTTTTTGCAGAGGCACCCAGATGCAACAGTTTAGAAGCATATATAAAGATATAATATAAAAAGTGACTGTCAGGACCCCAGTGAGGATCTCACAGTTTGACTTTGTACTGTCCTATTAATTATATTCACATTTTTAATCTACCATAAATGAAATGGAGACGAATGATACTTGGGACCTGACGATCTGTTGGAGTGTGAGCAGGGTAATATTTAGTGAAGGGATTCAGGGAAACCGGTTATTTTCATATAGTCGGACTTGAGTCCTGGAAATGGGAAGTACAGTGCCTGCACTTTAAAGGAGGGGTTTCGGATATTGTCAGTTTGGAGGGATATGTTGTGTATCTTTATACGTATATGCTTCTAAACTGTTGTATTCTGAGCACCTCTGCAAAAAACAGTGATAATGTGTGAGTGAGATGAAAGTGTTGAATGATGATGAAAGTATTTTCTTTTTGGGGATTTTCTTTCTTTTTTGGGTCACCCTGCCTCGGTGGGAGACGGCCGACTTGTTGAAAAAAAAAAATGAAACATACATTTATAATTAAATGCGATGTAACAGTTATGGACTGAGAAAGAGAGGAGGGCCTGAGAAAGAAGTGGTCGCCAAACTGAAGTTGACTGATTCATGGAAGCCACTAGATCCTCACGCACAAACTCCTGCTGCGAGACCAGTAAGGGCTGGCCGACTCCGTAAACCACCTCCATGTAACTGTCACCGCCAGTTACAAGTAAGTTTTATTATTTAATTTTTATTTTTTTATTAACACATCGGCTGTTTCCCACCAAGGCAGGATGGCCTGAAAAAGAAAAACTTTCGTCATCATTCAGTGTAAGCATGCCAGAGGCATGCCAGAGGCATGCTTACACTACAGTTGTAAAACTGCAACATTAGCACCCTTCCTTCAGAGTGCCAGCACTATACTTCCCACCTCCAGGAATCAAGTCCAGCCTGCCGGTTTCCCTGAATCTCTTAAAAATGTTACCGTGCTTACACTCCAAGAGTATGTCAAGTCCTAAGAACCATTTGTCTCCATTTGCTCCTATCTAACAGGCTCACGCATGCTTGCTGGAAGTCCAAGCCCTTCGCACACAAAACCTCCTTTATCCCCTCCCTCCAACCTTTCCCAGGCTGACCCCTACCCTGCCTTCCCTCCACTACAGATTTATACACTCGAAGTCATTCTATCTTGTTCCTTCCTCTCTACATGTCCAAACCATTTCAATAACCTCTCCTCAGCCCTCTGGATAATAGGTTTGGTAATCCCGCACCTCCTCCTAATCTCCAAACTATGGATTCTCTGCATTATATTCACACCACACATTGTCCTCAGACATGACATCTCCACTGCCTCCAGCCTTCTTGTTGCAATATTCACCACCCATGCCTCACACCCATACAAGAGCGTTGGTATAACTATACTCTCATACATTCCCCCTCTTTGCTTTCATGGATAAAGTTCTTTATCTCCACAGACTCCTCAGTGCACCACTCACCTTTTTTCCCACGTCAATTCTATGATTCTCCTCATCTTTCATAGACCCATCTGCTGACACGTCCACTCACAAATGTCTGAATTCATTCACCTCCATACTTTCTCCTTCTAATCTGATATCCAATTTTCCATTACCAAATTTTTTTGTTATCCTCATCACCTTACTCTTTCCTATATTCACTTTTAATTTCCTTCTTTTACATACCCTACCAAACTCATCGACCAACCTCTGCAACTTCTCTTCAGAATCTCTCAAAAGCAGTGTTACCAGCAAAAAGCAACTGTGACAACTCCATCTTTGTGTTCGATTCTTTATCTTTTGACCCCACAGCTCTTGCCAACACCCAAACATTCACTTCTCTTACAACTCCATCCGTAAATACATTGAACAACCATGGTGACGTCACACATCCCTGTCTAAGACTTAATTTTACTGGGAAATAATCTCCCTCTTGCCTACATACTCTAACCTGAGCCTCACTATCCTCATAAAGACACTTCACTGCTTTCAATAACCTACCTCGTATTCCATACATTTGTAACATCTGCTACATTGCCCCCCTATCTACCCTAGCATATGCCTTTTCCAAATCCATAAATGCCACAAAAACCTCTTTACCCTTATCTAAATACTTGGTCTATACACCCCTACCCTTCCAAAAGCCTTCTTATTCATCTGCTATCCTGCTCTCCACCTTATTCTTAATTCTTTTTATAATAACTCTACCATACACTGATTCTATGTCATCATTGAAGGCTCTTGGCTCATATAATGACTCCAACAACATGCTCATTGGGGAAGCCAGGTATAGATACTCAAAAATTAGGGACAAAGGAATTAATGTACAATTGCTATGGATCCCATCACACATTGGATTACTCCTTCATGATAAAGTTGATATGTTAGCCAAGAAGAGTATCCAGAAGGAGAACGTAGAATATAACTTTGGTATAACTGTGTCTAGCATTAGGAATAATATTAGGAGAGAAGTAAATAATGAAGATGATTGTTATAGGAATGCAGTTAGAAGCCTGAGTAGATCTATAACCCACTATGGTAACATGAACGTAGATAAGTATGTTTATGGAGCAACTTGCAATGTGAACAGACTGACTGATGTTGTAGTGGCCAGGCTTAGGCTTGGTTACAAGTACTTCTGGCAGTTTGGGAGACACACAGATGATGATCAAACTAAATGTAAATTATGTGATCAGGCATATGGTCACTCTCTTGAACACTATGTGCTTAATTGTCCACTTATTGAGGAATACAGAGACAGACAGTATAATAACCTATGTGACATGTCAAGATATCTTATTAATGAAAATATGATACCAGATATACTAAGCAAATTTCCTAAATTTGCTTGTAACAGATAAGTGAACTATAGATATGTAGATATAAATCCATATGTATTCCTGTTAACCCTTTGGGGCCTAGTTCCTAGGCCTTTTGTGTATCCATATGCTCTCGCGCTACCGTCCACAGGATGGATATGGGGTGCACAATAAACTAGCCACTTCGGTGGCAAAATCTAAATCTACCATACACTTTACCAGGTATATTCAACAGACTTCTTTTCTTTCTTTTTTCAACAGACCAGCCGCATCCCACTGGAGCAGGGTGATCCAAAAAGAAAAAACAAAAGTTTCTCTTTTTAACATTAGTAATATATACAGGAGAAGGGGTTACTAGCCCCTTACTCCCAGCATGTTAGTCACCACTCAACAGACTTATTCCCCTATAATTTTTACACTCTCATTTGTCCCCTTTGCCTTTATACAAAGGAACTGTGCATACTCTCTGCCAATCCTTAGGTACCTTACCCTCTTCCATTCATTTATGAAATAAAAATGCTAACCACTCCAGAGCTATATCCTCACCTGCTTTTAACATTTCTATCTTTATCCCATCAATCCCAGCTGCTTTACCCCCTTTCATTCTACCCACTGCCCCACATTCTTCCCCCACACTCACAACTGGTTCTTCCTCATTCTTATAAGATGTTATTCCTCCTTTCCCTATACATGAAACCACAGCTTCCCTGTCTTCATCAACATTTACCAGTTCCTCTAAATATTCCCTCCATCTTCCTGATACCTCTAACGAGCCATTTAATAACTCTCCTCTCCTACTTTTAACCCTTTCAGGGTCGACAGGCCCTCTCAGAGACTTGTTCTCAGGGTCGGCCAAATTTAAAAAAAAAAAAAATTCTTATGAAAAGATACATAATCTTTTCCCGACCATAATGACACCAAAAGTATTAAATTTGATGGAAAACTTACGGAATTATGCTCTCATGAAGTTAGCGGTCTCGACGATGTTTACGCATCGGCGATTTTGTCCACTTTGAGCCCTATTTTCGGCCAATTCCAATGTACTAGTCGACCGAAATCATAACTGTTTCGTTAGAACTCCATTTTTTCTATCGAATGAGTACAAGAAACCACCCATTTACCGATTTCAACTATCCAATACAGTGGTCAGAATTTAGCAATTTTCCCAATTTCACACAAATTTCAAAAGCTGCCAATTTCCGAATAGGGTTCAGAATAAACAAGAAAGACATTCCTGGCACTAAAATAACATTTCCTCTGTTCATTAGTCACGTCCCCATGCCCCTCTTACATTCTTTTGCTTGCCACTTTGAATTTTTATTCTCAAAAAAAAAAACAAAAAAAATATAAGATTTACTGCTATGCAGACTACTGCATTAGTGTAGAAATGGTATAAATAATATCAGTGCACTTGTGAAAGAATATTAGACTCGCCAGTTAACGTGTATTGGACGCATAGCACGATTTGTTTACTTTTGAACTTTGGTAAAAATCAAACATTTCTGCTACTTTGAGCTCAATTTCAAGGTACTTTTCATTGTAAGACCAGTCAAAATCATCTCAATTTCTGTAATGTCTTCCATTCTATAAAATGAGACCAGGAAAACTAGAATACAATAATAAATACCATACAAAAATACAGTGCAAAGTCGCTGTTTTAATCCAAAAACACGGTCAAAGTTTTTTTTTTCTCATTATGCACTGTGTACTGCAGGATTTTTTTATACTGCGCACACTGACCACATAGACCTATTCTTTCTTATGTAGGCCTACCAGCTTTCTCTCATTAAATTTGAGGGCGCTAGAATTTAGGCGTGCTAGTACGTCAAAAACCCTGGTGCGTAAGCCGTACTGGTACAGCCGAAACCCTGAAAGGGTTAACTAGCAAATCCATTCGTTCCCTAGGCTTTCTCAACTTACTAATCTCGCTCCAAAATTTTTTCTTATTCTCAACAAAATTTGTTGATAACATTGTTTTCAAATGTTGTATATTCTCTGCTTGTTTCTTAGTACATTTTGAAAATTATTGAAAAAAATGTATGATTTTGTAAAGGGCAGTTCTCTAGTGCATAGATAAGTTACCAAAACTGTGTATAAATTTTGCATATGTGGAAGGAAGTGTATCAGAAACCCTTGAATGGCATGGAGGGAGGGTGTTAAGGTGATTTTTCATCCACAGAATTAAAAGCAGTAATAAAATTGAATGACCTTTAATAAGGAGCTAGATGACAATCAATTTTTGCTAATACTTTTGTTCTGTTTTTCAGAATGCACCTAGAAGAACAAGTGTCAAAAAAGGTAAAGGTAATGAATCTAAGAAATCTCTTCCGTCCGTGGAATCTTACATTACTGGGGAGCTCGCTGGAGTAATAGGTTCAACCACTAAAAAATGCACAGTAAGTTGAAATTGGATGGAAGTTGTTAATATGAAGGAGTTAACATAAGTACTAGTAATCACTTCATAGGGAATTTTATTTTAAAAATTTAATTTAGGTTAAAAACTTTTGTTCACATTTAATTTTTCGTTATGTAACAGGTTCCTCCAGAACTCTTGGAGGAAGTCAATAAGGAAGTAACTAAAAGGCTTGAGCTTAATAAGTGCAAACGAGTGAATGAGTTGCTGAAAGAAGGAGGCACATGTGATGTGGAGGAGGCTTTGCAGAAAGTGACAGAAGATGCAGAACTTGAAGAAAGAGTCGATAATGCACTAGATGATCCCCTGGATTGTGATGGGGCTGTGGATTTGGGTGAGTAAAAGAAACCTGTGAAAGTACAGTCATTTAATTTTGTTCAGTTGGAAGACATCAGAATCTGTTTCTTTATAGTAAATGCTGTACTGTAGTTAGCTTTTGGTGGAATAAAATGTGATTTACATTAAGCAGACATTAAATAAAGAAAAAATTATAAATATGTAATAGAGACTGCAAGATCAAATTAGATAAAAAAAAAAAAATATAGTTGGAAATGCAATTACAGTAGGGCCCCACTTATACGGCGGGTTAGGTTTCAGGCTGTCGCCAGAAAGCAGACATTGCCGGAAGGCAGAACGCCATTTTTTTCCATTTATAAATGCATATAAATGCCAGACAACAAGTATACACTAAATTATATTAAGTTAGTAATAGAACTAGGCATTAAAAACACACAAAGTAAAATACATTCACAGTAAATTCATTACTTAAAGTATTTGTAATCTTAATGTAGGGAGAGAGGTGAGTAGTACTTGTAGGAAGTCAGGTGCAGGTAGCCCAGGTGTAGGTAGCCCTGGCTCCCCATCTCATACTTAATATACAATATTTAAAACATCCCAGAGAGGTAAAATACACATACAGTACACTCATTATTTACCTTAAAATATGTGTAGTCTTAATATAGGAAGAGACGTGAGTAGTATTTATTTGTAGGAAGTCAGTGTAGGTAGCCGGTAGGTGTAGCCCACCTGGGCTACACCTACCGACTACCTACACTGTGGCCCAGAGCCTTATTATTAACATCGACATGCCTTGTTCACTGAATTTAATAATTTCTAACAACTACCTTTAGATGCCATCATAAACGAAGGTAGAAGTTACGAATAATTCATGCCGAAAATTGTAAACAAAAGGAGAAACTTTTAGAGAGGGTGTGGTAGGTAAGTTTGGGGTGCCAGGTGTAAATGATAATGGGAGCCCTTTGGTTGAACTTTGTATAGAAAGGGGTTTAGCTATAGGTAATACATATTTTAAGAAAAAGAGGATAAATAAGTATACAAGATATGATGTAGGGCGAAATGACAGTAGTTTGTTGGATTATGTATTGGTAGATAAAAGACTGTTGAGTAGACTTCAGGATGTACATGTTTATAGAGGGGCCACAGATACATCAGATCACTTTCTAGTTGTAGCTACACTGAGAGTAAAAGGTAGATGGGATACAAGGAGAATAGAAGCATCAGGGAAGAGAGAGGTGAAGGTTTATAAACTAAAAGAGGAGGCAGTTAGGGAAAGATATAAACAGCTATTGGAGGATAGATGGGCTAATGAGAGCATAGACAATGGGGTCGAAGAGGTATGGGGTAGGTTTAAAAATGTAGTGTTAGAGTGTTCAGCAGAAGTTTGTGGTTACAGGAAAGTGGGTGCGGGAGGGAAGAGGAGCGATTGGTGGAATGATGATGTAAAGAGAGTAGTAAGGGAGAAAAAGTTAGCATATGAGAAGTTTTTACAAAGTAGAAGTGATGCAAGGAGTGAAGAGAGTATATGGAGAAAAAGAGAGAGGTTAAGAGAGTGGTGAAGCAATGTAAAAAGAGAGCAAATGAGAGAGTGGGTGAGATGTTATCAACAAATTTTGTTGAAATAAGAAAAAGTTTTGGAGTGAGATTAACAAGTTAAGGAAGCCTAGAGAACAAATGGATTTGTCAGTTAAAAATAGGAGAGGAGAGTTATTAAATGGAGAGTTAGAGGTATTGGGAAGATGGAGGGAATATTTTGAGGAATTGTTAAATGTTGATGAAGATAGGGAAGCTGTGATTTCGTGTATAGGGCAAGGAGGAATAACATCTTGTAGGAGTGAGGAAGAGCCAGTTGTGAGTGTGGGGAAGTTCGTGAGGCAGTAGGTAAAATGAAAGGGGGTAAGGCAGCCGGGATTGATGGGATAAAGATAGAAATGTTAAAAGCAGGTGGGGATATAGTTTTGGAGTGGTTGGTGCAATTATTTAATAAATGTATGGAAGAGGGTAAGGTACCTAGGGATTGGCAGAGAGCATGCATAGTTCCTTTGTATAAAGGCAAAGGGACAAAAGAGAGTGCAAAAATTATAGGGGGATAAGTCTGTTGAGTATACCTGGTAAAGTGTATGGTAGAGTTATTATTGAAAGAATTAAAAGTAAGACTGAGAATAGGATAGCAGATGAACAAGGAGGCTTTAGGAAAGGTAGGGGGTGTGTGGACCAGGTGTTTACAGTGAAACATATAAGTGAACAGTATTTAGATAAGGCTAAAGAGGTCTTTGTGGCATTTATGGATTTGGAAAAGGCATATGACAGGGTGGATAGGGGGGCAATGTGGCAGATGTTGCAGGTGTATGGTGTAGGAGGTAGGTTACTGAAAGCAGTGAAGAGTTTTTACTAGGATAGTGAGGCTCAAGTTAGAGTACATAGGAAAGAGGGAAATTATTTCCCAGTAAAAGTAGGTAAAAGTAGGTTGTTTAATATATTTATAGATAGGGTTGTAAGAGAAGTAAATGCGAGGGTCTTGGCAAGAGGCGTGGAGTTAAAAGATAAAGAATCACACACAAAGTGGGAGTTGTCACAGCTGCTCTTTGCTGATGACACTGTGCTCTTGGGAGATTCTGAAGAGAAGTTGCAGAGATTGGTGGATGAATTTGGTAGGGTGTGCAAAAGAAGAAAATTAAAGGTGAATACAGGAAAGAGTAAGGTTATGAGGATAACAAAAAGATTAGGTGATGAAAGATTGAATATCAGATTGGAGGGAGAGAGTATGGAGGAGGTGAATGTATTCAGATATTTGGGAGTGGACGTGTCAGCGGATGGGTCTATGAAAGATGAGGTGAATCATAGAATTGATGAGGGGAAAAGAGTGAGTGGTGCACTTAGGAGTCTGTGGAGACAAAGAACTTTGTCCTTGGAGGCAAAGAGGGGAATGTCCATGCCTCACACCCATATAGCTCTTATATGGGTGTGAGGCATGGGTGATGAATGTTGCAGCGAGGAGAAGGCTCGAGGCAGTGGAGATGTCATGTCTGAGGGCAATATGTGGTGTGAATATAATGCAGAGAATTCGTAGTTTGGAAGTTAGGAGGAGGTGCGGGATTACCAAAACTGTTGTCCAGAGGGCTGAGGAAGGGTTGTTGAGGTGGTTCGGACATGTAGAGAGAATGGAGCGAAACAGAATGACTTCAAGAGTGTATCAGTCTGTAGTGGAAGGAAGGCGGGGTAGGGGTCGGCCTAGGAAAGGTTGGAGAGAGGGGGTAAAGGAGGTTTTGTGTGCGAGGGGCTTGGACTTCCAGCAGGCATGCGTGAGCGTGTTTGATAGGAGTGAATGGAGACAAATGGTTTTTAATACTTGACGTGCTGTTGGAGTGTGAGCAAAGTAACATTTATGAAGGGGTTCAGGGAAACCGGCAGGCCGGACTTAAGTCCTGGAGATGGGAAGTACAGTGCCTGCACTCTGAAGGAGGGGTGTTAATGTTGCAGTTTAAAAACTGTAGTGTAAAGCACCCTTCTTGCAAGACAGTGATGGAGTGAATGATGGTGAAAGTTTTTCTTTTTCGGGCCACCCTGCGTTGGTGGGAATCAGCCAGTGTGATAAAAAAAAAAAAAAGCGGAGTGAGGGATTGGCTGTGCCAAACGCAGATTCATACACATTTTCTCTGATGGCTGAGCAGAGAAAACGTAATGTTGTCCCTCCACCCGGCTACCACACAGCTCTACAAGTATTATTATCAGAGCATATAAAATATGCAATAAATGCCAGACAACAAGTTTACACTAATTTATATTAAGTTAGCCATAGAAATAGGCATTAAAAACACAATAAAAGGTAAGATACACACAGAGTACACTTATTACTTACCTTAAAATATTAATATCAATGTGTGAGAGGTGTGTGGCAGGGTGTTTATTGAATAAAATCAGAATGGCACACCATCATTCTCTAACTTGGCACTTAAAGCAAGAGGCTTACGACTTCTCTTTTTATCACAGCTAACCTTAGACGCCATCGTCAATGAGAGCCAACTAGTTAACGAAAGAGTAAACGAGAGAGAGAACGAGATACAGAGTTGAGACAATGTAAGAACACAAACTGAACAGGTAGCGGACGATCACTTGGTCAGGAGAAATAAATGGGTATTAATGTGTGTCTACTTTTAGTTCATTCACGTTCATTTGTAAGAGTTTGTAAAACATTTACCTCAATATTTTTTTTATTATAATAATAATTACCTCACAATACAAATACTCTTACATTGTGTACAAGTTGTATAAGTTAGTTCAGAATAAACAAACAGCAACACCATTTTTAGAGTGGGAGACGGCCGACTTGTTGAAAAAAAAAATAATAATAATAATAATATTATTATTATTATTTATTATTATAAAAAGCACTAAACCCACAAGGGTCGTGAATTGCTATATATAGAGTAAAGGCATACGAAAAGAATATTTTTCTACAGTTATCCCCCAGTTTGACTAGAGAAAACGTAATTCTTCCGACACTACCAACACAGCTGCTTAGTAAACAAATCTCATATTTATGCCAATTTTTATTCTGTGAGTGTATGTATCATGTTTATATGCTATGTAATGGGTTTCATATATAATTTTGAGGAAAATATCATAGATGGATTAATGAAAATGCCTATATTGATGTAAATTAAGACATTTAGTGTGCCAAAGAGTGGTTATTATTACGTAGTATTGGCGTCATGCATAGAGAGAGACTTAGTGATTTTAATGTGTACCTGCACACCAGCACAGTGTGTAAGTATATTTAAGTACAGGTACACTTAAGTATAATTATCAGAGTACATATAAAATATGCAGTAACTTTAAAACACTTGAAATTTTGGAAAGTTTCCTGACATGATAGATGAGGTCACAGAAAATGTAAACAAACCGGGTGGGGGCGCCGTATTTGAAAGACCGCTTGCCGTATAGCAAATTTTGGTCATAATTTGACATCGCCGTATTAGCGGAACGCCATAAGGCAAAACGCCGTAAAGCGGGGCCTTACTGTACTCTGTTAACTCAAGTATGGGTCAAAGCTCTTAAGGTCAGTTTTATTAGCAAGAAGTAAGGAGTCGACTCATTCTTAGGTATTCCTTCTGAAGGACTGAATTCTGTAAACTGTAGACTCTATACTGAAAAAAACAAAACTGCAGTAGGCCTACTGGCTATGCTAGGGAGTTCTGTGTACATTCACATTAGTGCCTAGCATGGGCCTGGAGACTTACTACAATTTCTGTTCTTGCATAGGAAAGCTATATATTTTAATAATGTAGTTCCATATAAATGGGAATACAGTAGACCCCCGGTTTTCATAATTAATCTGTTCCAGAAGGTTGGCCTAAATCTGAAATGTCCGAAAACCGAAGTACATATAATATTTCCCATAAAAAATAATATAAATCCAATTAATTTGTTTCAGACACCCAAAGATATTAAAAAATACATTTTATAGAGAATAACTATAGTTTTACATACAGAAAACAAAGAGAAAGAAATATAAATAACTAATTTTAATGATTAATGAACATTACATACCTTTATTGAAGACTTGTTGGTGAGTAGTATTTATTTGTAGTCCCAGAGGGACTACATCTCAGGTGTATACCTACCGGCTACATACACTGCGGCCTACAGCCATATTATTACTATCGACATACCATGTTCACTGGGTTGAATTGTTTCTAATAACTTTAGATGTCATCATAAACAAAGGGAGAAGTAATGAATAATTCATGCCGAGAATTGTAAAGAAAAGCCTTATGTACTATCAAGGGCGGTTACTGGGCCATCACAGATTCATACACGTTTTCTCTAAAGCTGGACCAGAGAAAACGTAATGTTTACCCTCCACCCGATCCCGCCCCTTGATAGCACATAAACATTGCATGTTTATATGCTATGTAACGTGTTTCTTGTAGTATAATTTTGAAGAAAATATAGATGGATTAATGAAAATGTCTATATTAACCTAAAATAAGACATTTAATGTGCCCAAGAGTGATTATTATTAAACATAGTGCATATAAACACTGCATGTTTATATGCTGTGTAATGTGTGTCTTACATAATTTTGAAGAAAGTATCATAGATGGATTAATGAAAACGTCTGTATTAACGTAAAATAAGACATTTAACGTGCCCAAGTGTGAGTCATGAATGTATAAGCGGCCCAGGTGGACGCATCTGGTACAGTCTATTTCCAAACCTATGTACGAAACCTGGGGTAAAAATTCGCTGGAAAAAGTGCTTGAAATCTGAATTGTACGATTTCCGCACCAGCTGAAAACCGGGGGTCAATGTATTTGGGTGAGTAGAATGATCTGGCAACCACTTATCCAATATAGGAATTGGTCAACTCTGCACTCGTATATACTGAGATATTCTGCATGTCCATCTCAATATACTCTGCCGCTCTCACTGCATGCAAATATTCAGAATAGTGTCTTTTTACTATTTCAAAATTTAATTACAATAATATAATAAAAGATATGAAAATGAGGTTGACTGTAGTGCTCTTTTGTGCTTTTGTAAGAAAACATTAGTTTACCAGTGATGGGGAAGAGTAGGAACTACACTAGCCAGCAAGCCTACTGAGGTGCTCTTTTTGTTTTCTGGTAAGAAAATGCTGCTTGAGAGTTGTCAGTGATAGGGATGAGTAGAACCTACCAACCAGTAGGCCTACTGCAGTGCTCCCTTTAAAGTCTACCCTTGTTTTTGCATGGAGCAAATGAATGATGCTCACATGACATATTTCTGATGTAAAACTAATGAAAATAAAAACAAATGAGGATAGGCAAAGGCTGCAAATGGATCTGGACAAATGGCAAGATTAGTCGGATAAGTGGTTGCTTGAGTTTAACCCTAGCATAGGCAGGGTTATGAAGATTGAGGAAGGGGCCAGAATCTGGTAAAGTATAGATCTGGGGAACAGGCTGCAAACCTCACTCAGAGAGAGCTCTAGGGGTGAGCATAGTCTCTAGCATATAGCCCGAAACTCATCATCTGAAAAAAACTTTGCAGCAATGTTTGTCTGACAAATCTAAGAGTAGCTGTCAGGAATGTCAGTGTCATTCCAGGCCCTTCATACAACATATGTCACGCTCATTTTGTAGTATGCTGCATTGCCATGGAACCCACAACTGAAAAGCACAAAGGTATGCAACAAGACTAGTTCCAGGGCTAAGGAGTATGAACTATGAAGAGAAGCTAATATAATTGAATCTAGCAGCTTTGGAGGACAAAGCATGGGAAGACATGATACAAAAAAAATTCTCAGAGGTTTTGATAGGGTAGATAGGAACAAGCTGTTTGAGAGCTAGGAAATAATATTCAGGGGCACAGCTGGATGTTAGACACAGCTGAGGCACAGGGATGCCAAGAAGTATTCCTTCAGTTTCAGGGTAGTCAGGAAGTGGAATGACCTTGATGATGAAGTGGTAGAGGGAGGCTCTATGTCCAGTTTTAAGAGCAAGTATGATAGGGCCCATGAGGCTAGGAGGGAGCAAATCTGGCAAGTGGCAGGTTAGGAAGCAAGGGCAGAAGCCTCATCAACTAGGCTATTGCTGCTGCTACCTACAGCCCCACATAGTCATCAAAGCTTGATTGATTAGGGACCTGCAGAAACATTTTTAGTTTCCTCAGTGAGTTTTTCACTTATTATAGTTCAACTGTTAGTTCAGTTTCTTGGAAAGAGAGATCATCTTCTTTCAACAAACCAGCCGTATCCCACTGGAAAGAGAGATACCCAAATCAATATAAGAAAAATCACAATGATCTCCACAAAATTAATTTATTTTTTTAATTATGATTATCTTAGATGGTGATGAACTGCCAGCCCCACCTATATTCCTTCCTGATCCGCATGATACTACAAAAGAGCCTGAGTGTGTCACCAGGAGGCTTGGAGACAGCAGTTTTGATGAACCCATCAGTGATTATGAAGCTTTAGTGCAGAAATGGGTAGCTGATTATATTACTAATGCTCAGGTTTGTATAACTTATGTTGAGAGTTGCTTTAGTGGTGTTTTTATTAATGTTCAACTTGTCTCTGACATTGAAGCTTATTGGTAAATTCTGACTTGTTTAATGTAGTCAACATAAATGCTGTATGTCATGCCTATATGTTGTACTTGCCTATTTGTGGTTGCAAGGGTCAATTCTCAGATCCTGGCCTTGACTCTTAACTTGGCACTCTTCAGATTCACTCACTTAGCCTTGTGGGCCTTATAGTACTTGCTCTTAAAACTATATACGGAGCGTGCCTCCACCACTTCCTCACCAAGATCATAGCACTTCTTGACCACTCTAAGACTGAAGAAATAGTTCCTGTTATCCCTGTGACTCATCTGTGACTTTAACTTCCATCTGTGTCCCTGAGTTTTCATTTTTCACCTCAAATATCTTTCCTTATCCCTGAGTATTTTGTATACTGTTATGTACATCCCCTTGATTCTTCTGTTCTCCATTGGTGTTAGATCCAGTTTTGTTAGCTTCTTGTAGCTTATTTCCCTTAGCTCAGGAAAAAGCCTTGTTGCATATTTCTGCACTTTCTTCAGTTTCATAACATTTTCATAATGTTTCAGAATGACTTTCTCGAGGTTCCTGAAGACTACTTTTAAATTTACCAGACGAGCATTGGCTGCAGAGGTTATTTGGCTGGTGTGAGTCTCTAACGTTATACTTGGCATTGTGCTTAAACCTAGGTCTTTCTCTTGAGTGAAGTCTGTAGCCTGTCTCTCCTAGTTTATGCCCATTTCTGATCTTGCTCCTTACCAAATCTTCATCATCTTGCATTTACTGAGGTGGAATTCAGGCAACCACTCTCGCAATTTGTCCAGATCTCTTTGGAGCCTTTCCTTGTCTTCATGTGTTTTAATTCCCCTCATTAGTTTAACAAAGTGAGAAATCATATGTAGGTAATTACTTGTTTTTAGAGGAAAGACATGTGAGCAAACACTAGACATTTATTTGGAAACATTTCAGTTCTGGGACCATTTTCACTCTATATTGGGTACAAGAAATGCAGGTTATATAGCTCATAGTTTATATACGTGAAAGAAAAGTGAGGTCAAGTTAGGGGTCAGGTTAAGATATGCTGAAGTGAGGCCAAGTGAGGGGTCAGGTTAAGATGTGCTGAAGTGAGGTCACTTATTAGCAGTGTCAGGACAAGTGACTCGCATGAGCCAAAGTAGTGGAGATGATGCAACTTCAAGCTTTCACTTCTGTTGTGTTTGTAACTGTGATCAAAGATGATTTCAGTCATTGCTGCTCTCTAGGTTCAGATCTTTCTTTCAACAAACTGGCTGTATCCCACTGAGGCAGGGTGGCCCAAAAGGAAAAGGAAAGTCTAGGTTCAGATGTGGTAATAATAAGATGGTCTTATCAGCTCATCATATTGATATTGTATGCCATTCATATGATCCAGAATTTCACAATTTTTGTAGGCACAGCTTGTAGCTGTAGTCTGCAATATTTTGAGTGGAAGGTCAAGAACTATAGTGAAAATGAATGGCTTTTTTTTTTTTGTGCAGTTTGACTTTTTTTGCTATTGAGAGGTGTAACTATTGATAATTGAATAACTATAGATAATTGAATATTTGCTTTCCAGGAACATGTTAACTGTTCTTCCCTTGTGAAACGTGTGAACAAATGGAGGGAGACTGTTATGCCAAAATTGATTGAAGAAGAACAGAAAAGAGAGTTCGATATTCACAGATATGGTACTCAGGTAAGTTTAATATTAAGCTTTCTGAGAAATAAAATATTTTTTTTAACACTGGCCTTTTTCCATTGAAATAGTGACCCTTACAAAGAAAACATTGTCACTCATTCAGTCACTATTGCCAGATGGGAACCAACATCACAGTTAATAAGACTCTCCAAACCACACCATCCCCACCTCTCTTTGATTGCAGGTACTTCCCGCCTCCAGGACTCAAGTTCAGCTGACTGGTTTCCCTGAATCCCTTCATAAATATTACCTTACTCTCACTCCAACAGCACCTCACATCATAAAAAACACTTACTCCGCTCACTTGTACCTAAGATGATCACACAAGCCTGTTGGAGTTCCAAGCCCCTAGCACTCAAAACGTTTGCCTCCTACCTCCAGCCATTGTTGTCCTCAAACACGACATCTCTGCTTCCTCCAGCCTTCTTGCAATGTTCATAACCCTTACTTAACACCCATACAACTGTGTTGGTACCACTATACTCGTATACATTTTCCTTTTTTGCCTCCATGGATAAAGTTCCTAGTCTCCACAGATGCCTCAGTGCACCACCCACCTTTTTTTTCCTTCATTAGTTTCATGGTTCACCTCCTCTTTCATAGATCCATCTGTTGACAAATCCACTCCCAAATATCTGAATGCATTTTTTACCTCCCTCCAAACTAATCTCTAGTCTCTCATTGCCTATATTTTTTTGCTACTGTCATCATCTTTCCTCCTTTAC